AATTAATAACTATTGTAACTATAGTGAAAAAATAGGGTGGTTTGCATCAATATTAGACATAACTGGTAGAAGACTGTACCACCTCAGTCAACCGTGACCATGGGACCTGTAAAGGGCCCGAAACGTAGGTTTGTTTGAAAAAACAAATATACGCGATTTAAATCCAGAAAAATAGTTTCATTTCCTATGGATTTACATTTATTTTTGCATTTTTGTTACACATTTAATATTATCTAATAATAAAGGCATGTATTTATAGATATTTTCTTCATTTTATTTATTTGGAAATACACTCCCAGACACATAAATCGAGCCATCTTGCATTTTGATTTTTCAAGTGCTAGAATAAAAAGAAATATTATTATCATTGAAGAAAGAGTTTTTCCCGGTTTCGCAAATTCAAATTTTCAACAAAACATTTTGAAAATGACGTTTAGTACACCAGTTTCAAACTTGAATTAGTTATTGATTAACCAAACATTATTTAAGCTAAGGACATTTAATACCGACAATGCAAAGTGGCTCGAATTATGTGTCCGGGAGTATAGTTATCTTTTTGTTATTATTATTAATTAAGATATTTTAAGAAAATGAAACAGAGAAAATAATATAATATTTTATTATTCCTATGAGCGATACAGGAGTATAAATTTTAGGTAGGTACAGTATTTTAAATATTTCGTTGAAGATTCTCATTGATCACTTGTTAATACACAAATACATTATTACACGAATTAGTATAAAATATTGTCTACAAATAAAAACAACTATATTATTTACAACTTAAACTAATTTACTTTAGTGGTAAGATAAGGCTATCGATAGACAAGCGTTGGCATGGCAAGTAACCTGCTAAACTTCGTTCTTCCTTTCTATATTGGGAGAAGAGAATTTGCGAAAAATTTAAAATGCAATAAATTAACTAGGAATCTCAGCATAGAATACTCCATTCAATATTCTACGTTAAATATTATTTAATTTTTTGGAAGGTTCAATTTATCGAGCCGATAAGTTTCGGGCACAGATGGCACTTCTAGTGGTATCAATGGTTTCAATTGACACTAAAACTTTTAAGTACAACGCCTGATTGGGGCCGTAGAAATAGCAAGGCAGACTAGTTAAATTTAAACGAACAATAAATAACATTATAATTATTAATACAAAGATCGAACACTTAGAAAAAAATCCTTCGATCTGGCCGAATTCGAACCGACGAAATACTTTAGATGGCGCTACGGCTAAAAAGTCGTTGAAAAACAAAATACAAAAATCCGACAACAAGCATATAGAAAAATTCGTGACTTCCGCTGGTTCGTTCCGTGGCGTAGTTGGTATAGCGTCTGACACAGTTTGCCAGAGAACGTTGGTTCGAATCCGGCCGGATCGAAATAATTTTTTTCTAAGTATTCGATCTTTGTATTAATAATTATAACAAACTAGTGGTGTAATTTCACAAAACAATAATTGAACATCAATTCAAAACAAATTTAAATAAATAACATTTTTAACAAAAAGGAACAGTCTTGAAAAAAGCCTAACTTACGAAAATATGCCATTATTTCCATTGAAGTAAGGAACAAAATGGTACAACTTTATTTACAAGAAGCCTACCGAAGTACTGACTGATGTAGAGAGTAATATGTATTTAGGTATTAGTACGAGGCGCATTCTGCCTGTGACGCTTTTACTATAGACGCACTTCACTAAATTGAAAGGTGTCAGTTAGCATCTTTTTATTCTCTCTTTACGTAAACGTTCGCAGATAAATGACCCTCGTTAGACTGAGTGCTAACCAGATTCCAAGAGGCATTCACGCGTCACCGAACTAATTCAACCAAAGGCAGCCCAATCAATTTCCTGGACTTTGCGCGCCAATACGAAAACCGAATAAATATAGCGAACTCTTTTGCATTTTGATTACAATCAGTGCCGTGTGGAACAATTTAGCTTTCAAGAAGCCAGGTTGTTTTTCGGGTTTCTGAGAACAAGAGCTATGGGCCCAGCTGGCAGAGCCTTGAGTGCAGCCCAGGCCTGCGTGCGGGTGTACCCATCCATAGACTGTCCGCCAGCTGAGAGAAGCTCCGCGCCGACCAGTACGCGCCCGCTTTGAGCTGCTGCCCCTCCTGGAACAAAATTTATTACAATGCTTACGTAAGTAGTACGTATAGACGGTACAAAACAGTGTTTAAAAATTAAATGTGCGAATGGCATCACAGTTCTTAGTGAGAACAGAAATATGCTTTAAGTATTGATGTTCATGGCATTTGTAAAGATACAAACCCGCGAATAACTTCTTAATAGTAAGAGGCCGATCTCCCTGCGGCGAGTCTCGGCCACCGTCCAGGCCGAAACCGAGCCCAGCGCCTCCTCCTGCCTTTTCCAGATAGACTGTCACTATTAAATCAGATTTTTCATCGCTATTTTCCTTTTCTCCTATCTCACTCCGCACCTTCGACTCCGCTGTGAAATAATGGAAAATATTTAATTAATCTGAGTTGCAAAAGTATTGCGTATTATGAATGACATTGAAAGACTGTTTACCGCTTTCAGAGCCGCATGGTGGACCGTTCGAATTTAATTTATTTTCGTTTTCGATTTCGATGACAACTTCTGTTCGTTGCTCCTGTAAAAAAACAGTTTAAGAGAATGAAAACCCCGATCTCAGCTATTTTGCTCAATTATTATCAAGAGAAAGTAAATATATCCAAACATTTTAAGACAAGTCGGCATAAAACAAATTAATGCCTAAGTAGTTTTCCAAATTTTCAATTTTCCTTTAACTATACCTTAAGGATAGTGACTGACTGCGCGTGCGTCAAACCGGTCATCGGGTGGCCGTTAATGCTGCGCAACTTTGCGCCGCGCTTCAGTCCTGCCTTGGCTGCCACGCTGTCTGCCAGCACTCGGTGAACCTGCCACATTGACAAGATTTGTAACGTATGCTAATTAGCTAATGAAATGATATTGCTTTTTTACATTTGTTATCAATCCATGAGCAAACCAATGACTGGGACTCGATTTAGATGAAGCGTCATCGAGCGTAGGTCAGTTATATTATTCCTTTTAAATAAAACTAATTCTTATACTTTAAACATTAAAAAAATCCTCTCTATGCACTTTCGTTTAGTGTTCAATAATGCCTTATGTAGGTATATACTATGTAGGTAACATGTAGTTGGTATGTCTATGGAATAATAAATATGAGTAAGGGAAACAAACATAATTTACTTACCGTAACGTCTTTAGCTTCACAATCGGTTCCACCAGCCAATATTAAACCTACGCCACTTCCAGCTCCACGCTTCAAGCGGACTATTCGCGTGGACGTAGCGTCTTCCACAGAACTGCTGTCAGTTTTGCCATTACACTCGACTCTACTAATTGCGCTGGAAAATATCTTTACAGGAATTTTATCCGTAACATCTTTGCTTTTGCTTTTAGGAGACGGAACAATTGCCTCTGTCTTAATAGTTCTATCTTCCTTTTTTTTAACAATGTTGTCGATTTTCTTAACTTCAGTGATTGCCTTATCAGCTATTGCAAATTTGTTAATATTGTTGTTAAGATTGTAATTGTCAAGACCTGCCTTTTTAATTTCTTTGATTATCTTCTCTGATATGACTTTTGGTGCATCTTCAGCTTTAGGTGAACCTAAATTCACTTCGTTTTGTTTGTTTTTCCCTGAACTCGAATTTCTTTTAAGTCTCGTATTTTTAAACTCAGCTTTCCTTTGTCGGACATTAACTTCGCTATCGCTGTCTGAATCGGTTTCGGCGATTATTTTATTGCGTCGTCTGCTTTCGCCTTTATTCGATACAGCACTCACTGAAGACGTGAGCGTAGAAAGGCGATCAGACACTTTATGAGTTGGACTCGGGGACCTGTCGAATGACTCGTGCGAGAATTTAGTTTCCACCACAGGCGATTTCAGCTTTGAATCTCTGCCGCTTCTACATTTAGCTGAAGCTAAAATATTTCTCCTGTTTATTGTATCAATATTATACGATTTCGAAACTTTTCTCTTGTCGGAGTCAGCGACAGAACTTTCAAGTGAGCTACAACTCGCTTGCGACCCTGATGTGGCCGCCGAACCCGCGGAGGAGCTAAGTGAAACGTTTGTATCTGAAGACACAGATCGGCAAATTCTGCGCTTTACGTACTCTTCACAAGTCTTCTCTGAAACACTTGTTTTCTTCGGAACCTCGGTTTTGACGAGTGAATACGAAGTGTAATGAGATATCCTTGGTGAAAGACGTGAACTATCTGATTCAATAGTATCTAGATTATGCATCGGTGATGAAGCAGAAGATCGATAGCTTGACTGTGTCGAGCTCATAGCGGAATCATTATCGCTATCTACTATATCAGTTGCTGTACAGATTTTAATTTCCACGTTCTTGTAATCACGGACATCATTCAATATGTCCTTGTAATCTTTACTTGTTAATTTATGTGGTAGTGCAGTTGAAAATTTAGATGACAATATCGGATTCAGTAGTCTTTCTGATCCACTTTTAATGTCCAATGCAGATCGCAAAGGTTTTATGTCATTGTTGTGGCTATTATTTACTTTATTCGTTACATCAATCTTCTCAATAAATTTCCGCTCCGGAGTTGATTCTTTGGATAAGCATGAAGATGTGTAGACTTGCAATGATTTCCTTTTGAAGGCAGGAGAATATTTGGGAATATTATTTGACAATAAATTAGTTTTCCACTTGGAATCATTGAACGGTGTCGGTTTAACGGTCTTGGTTTTACAGTCTTTGTTGTTAGAATTATGACTTTGAATAGATTTAGTAAGGAATGCTTTTGTTAGAGTATCTTGTACTTTGATTTCAGGTAAGTCAACTATAGGTCCTTGAACTTCAGGTATGACAAGACCTCTAAGTTTTGACATGGATTTCTTCCTTTGTTCGATTAAGTATTCCAAATTAGATTTGTGTGTACTTTTATTGCTACCATTATCGTCACTTGCACTGCGCGTATGGTATATTGGTGGAACATATGAGGCTTCTATACTTGTTGGTATTGTAGTAGCGCTACCGTAGAACAATGGTTTGTTATCCGTAGCAAGTGTTCTGTTGCTAGTTTTTGATGGAGTAGTAACAACGGTACTTGTAGAATTTTCCGTAGATCCAAGCACATCTGGCCTGTCCATGTGCCTTTTATAGGACCGTGGTACTTCGTCAAGGTTATCTTGCGACTTTGTTAAACGTCTATCCAATGTTGAGACTTCGGCATAATTAGTCACGTATGGTGTAGATTTCCTCGTAGTTGTGGTATTCCTTGCTGGTAGCGTTCCACATTTATCCAAGCGTTCCGAAGAAGAGCAGTCGTTAGAAAACATTGCGATTTTATCTTTAACACTGGCTTCGCTTCTTGCGTCCTGGCTTCGCGAAGTGTATGAGAATCTTGGGCGGCAACTGGACCAACCAGCAGGGAGTCGCGGCGGTAGACGAGTTGGAGGGTCAGGAATTTTCTCCACCGCGTCACAAGGGGTTTCCACTCCATCAGGGGGTTGTCGAGGACACGTGGGAAGGGGCGTTTCATCATTTGATAGGCTTTTATCCTCGGTGTCGCTTTTGTTGACACGATCTATAAATGAAATAAACGATGGTATGACATTTTTGAAAAAAAAAATTTCAATGGCTAAAAGTTTAGTTAGAAGATTGTAAGTGGGAATGCCCTACAATTTTCTGCGGCATCGGTGATTATCAGCATGCAAACTCGTCTGTACGATGTCTAGAAAATCCGCAGGTACAGCTAAACTATATACTATATCACCAATAGATAAGACTTGTTTTACAATTTTATTCTCTTACAAAATTGTATTCTTAGGATTTTGCGATTACTACACATTGCAAATGAAGCAGTTTTTAAATTTCTAAAAACATTTATGCTTCTTTGTTTTTCAAACAAACCAACGTGTCGGGCTCTGTACAGGTCCCATGGTCACGGCTGACTGAGATGGTATTAGTCATCAACCAGTTATATCTAATATGAATACTAACCACCCTATTCTGAACTATTGTTGCAAAAAATATAAATTTAAGTACTTTATTTTTTATTGATGTGAAAACGCATTACAATTTACGTTACAAATTATTAGCAAAATGTTTTAACAACATGCATTTTTTCTTTAATCAATTTTATGAAATTAATTACATTTTAAAAATAAAATAAAATATATAAAAGAGTAGTCTTATATCTGCATGGGATTTTTCATCAGAAGAAATATTGGTGGAAATAACCCAAGTCGTTAGTACAGATCAACATCTTCACAGTTGATATTAAGATATTTTTTAATTTAAATGGCCTCTCGCGGCTTCATTAAGGGCTTGAAATAGATCTTGATAGACGCACGCTTAAGGACTCTTCTGATCTTGTCTGTAACACCTCTCACATATGGTAAAATAGCAGGTTTTCGCTCGACTGTTATATAGTATATTTATATACTGAAGTTTCCTAGTTAGATGACTACTATCGCATACCTTACGAAAATTATCAAATTTACGTCATTATCACTTTTTTACAAGCGAGTACTTGCTTTGGTACTGAATATTATAATTGATAAATTGATCGATTATTTGAATTATTTACTTATACAAATTTATTGCAATATTGTTACCTAGCTTTAAAACATGAATCACACATATTACATACAGTACACATGGCCTATCTGTTAACCAATGATGCATCATACGTCTGTTACTCATCGATTGTGGTCACCTCTAAGGTAGTCACAGATTTATTTGTCATCTTACGTAGCCACTGAGAAGGCTGTATACAAAATTAGCGAGACCTTCTTTTTCTTCGACGATTGTATGTAAACACCGCGAATGCCGAATCTTGACAACACTGTATGATTTGCTATCCAACACTATAACTCTCTGACTGTACATGACTTGAAACAAATTTATGCTTACATACAGATATTCGCGAGGCGACTGATGTTTTCTATCCATGTATATACATTATGTACGTAACATAGCAATGGGATTGTTTAGTTTTCGCACATGGCACGCTTAAGTGTATTTGAACACCTGTTACTCTGAAATTCAGCTTCATGTCGACCTCAGCCATTATATCCTTTCTACAATTAAATGTAGCTTCGTCATTAAATTGGAACAAAGGCAAGTCGATCGATTTGTTCAGTAGCGCAAATGTATAGATGTAACAGAAAAACTAATACGTTTGTTTATTATTAGTTAATTACGTAGATAGATAAAGTTACATACCAATATTCTATTTTGTTTTTTCTATAACATCAGTCAATAATTCACACGCCGCTGATAAAGTAAATTATATAATAAAACGAATATTTTCAATTTAGTCAAGGAAGGAAAAGGGCATTGTGAAACTTCCGTGTTGTTATTGTAGAAAAGAGAGAAAATATGTTCACACAAAACCACTAATAAAATCACAATGAAGGATAGATTGTAGAAAAAGATGCCTGCGTAATAAAAATAATAGAAATTGGTTTTAGAATTTATAATTAATACATTATTTGATTATTATTTTATTTTTAAACATATTTTAACCGACTTCAAAAAAATTAGGAGGTTCTCAATTCGACTGTATGTTTTTTTGTATGTATGTTATGCGATAACTCCAGTATTTGTGAACCGATTTCGATTATTCTTTTTTTGTTGGAAAGAGGGTGCCTCCATAGTGATCACATTTAATTTTGACGAAAATCATCCAAAAAGGGTGGCTGTTCACGCATGATGATTCATTTTTATAAATAGCGCCTAAATTTTATTATAAGGAGCAATTATTTTTATAGTTTATTTTGCTATTCTCCAATTCAAGGCTTTTTTTCTCACAATATACTTTGAGTAATGAGAACCGATTTTTATTCTCCTGTGTCAATTTCCGTATAGTGGCGAACTAGGGGATGAATCCGGGTTTGTGCACTTTCCGGTAACCGATTTCAATAAAACTTGGCAAATAGATGTAATTCCACGTACTTTTTAGGTCGATTTTTTTAGTACTCTGTACTGAGATTATTAAATTTCCGCATCGTCGGCTAAATTTGAAATTCTTGTAACTCCGTTTTTGGATACTGACCCCTTTTTTACTCTTCAAGCGCAATATCGCGCAATTAAAGCTTACAATATAATTTCTAGGCCAAAGGTATACTGATACCACTTATGTGGTCTGTGACTGATACCTTTATATAAGTAGAGGTTGTCTTGTAGTGATCCTTTTTTCTGTGCCTGCTCAAAAGTTATAAAGTTAGTTAATTTGTAATATAAAGTTATTATACATGAATGGAGATACGAGGTTCACTAATTTCCACGATGTTATGTGTTTCATGACGTCAGGTATTTATTGCATTCATGATTATATTCAATATTAACATAAAGCACATATGTATACGTAAAAAACACGCTAAATAATAAATACAAAATCTCGCATGACAGACCTGCAAAGTAAAACTACCAATAAGTCGCAGAAAACTGCCCGCCCAGTAAGTAAGCAAGTTCAAGTAACAAAAACAAAACGAAAGCCCTCGGACCTACGCCTGCTGCGCTTACAAAGAAATTGTATATGAACAACAGCCGCATCATGCGATTGTAGAACCGTGCCGATCAGTAACAACCAAGCCAAAGAAGAATAAATGTTCTATTTACGCATTATAAACAATTATGTAATAAGGAAACTGTAATAAGAAAAAATACAAACCGTGTAAAGACACTGAGCGTCTCGGGAATTTCTTTATCTCCAACATTATGTCAAGTTATCACGAAATCTACACATTTATTATCACCAACTCGACTCATGCGTAACACATGCACTTTCATTCATCAAACCCGTAATTGTTCACGATCGTTCCAAAAAGAATACATTCATTGTACCGTAGCAAAGCTGTAAATACTGTAGCAATTTCCAAAAAAAATAAAGTCACCACCAACATCCTTCGCGAAATTGTGTCCACTTTGTTATTTAGCTGCAAAACAATGTCGCGTATCTTTCGTGAGGCTTAAGAAAGAATATCGAGTTAAGAATGCGGAACGTGTCCATTAACGACCAAAATAACAGTTATTTAAGTAAGGGCGGTGCGTGGTGCGTGCAACGGCGTGCGCCGGCGGCGGCAAGCAAGCGGCGAGCGGCGTGCGCGGAGCCGCCGCGGCGGGGCGCGATGCACTGAGTCGCGCCGGACTTGCAGAATTTTGCAGCGTCGCCGCCCTTGACGGGGGCGTTGCTCCTAACCAGGGACGGACACCGAGCTGCGCACGCGACGTTAACCCGCGCCCCTCCGTCGCTTCTCCGCACAACAAATCTCGTAGACGACACAAGTTAATCCTAAATGAGATTGCTTACAAGATATTATCACTGATTCTATGTATAATGTCTTGTAAAATCAATGTGGTTGCAGTACGTACATAATTGCAAATTCGCCTCTCAAAAGTGGTTTCTATACATAGTTTTCATTTTCAAACTTCAATAAGCACCAATTGCGGTAAGCGCCGAACCATAAATCTAAGTTATTTTTAGCACAAAAGCGGTGGAGGGCGGCGACCGTGAGCGCTCGCGCAGACGATGCTCGCAGCAGTACAGATGTCAGGGTCGCGGGACGCCCCCTGTTTACCGCGTCCTACTTCCGCCACTGGATGCTCGTTTCGTCTTGGCGTTGTCCATTGTAGAATACCTCGCATGAGCTCGTGCATGCGCTTTCATTTAGTATTTGCGGTAAGAGAGCGGGTGGTATCAAGGAATTCGCGTCGCATGTATGTGGGTAGACACATAGAGTGACGTCCCCGCAGTCGCGAGAGGCTGGAATGCCGCCTATACCCTCCGCCGCCGCCCCCTCGCAATCCGTACGCGGCCTTTAAACCGCTCCGACGTGTTTGCAGAGTTGTTTGCACATTTTTTTACATTCCCGTCCTTTTATTAAACTCTCTTATAGCCAAGCGTACACTCGTAGTTGAGTTCATCAAATGTACAATAGATATATAATAATGTGTTAAACTTTTAGATCAAGTAAGTTTATGTTAGCCAAAGTTAAAACTAATATCTTATAGGTATTATCAAATAATAGTGACCGATGTTTTACTTCTGGAACGACTCAGATCACGTTTTGGTGTGACATTTACATTATTTTTAATAATCTATGGAGTCCAATGGCGAAACTATGAAATGGTTAAGTGAAAGAAAGTGCAATCGATTTCACTTTCAAAACTAAATTAACTTTCTCCAGTGACATGTCTTACGTAATCGAAACAAGACAAGACACTCATAACCGCAGCATTTGTATCTCGTAAAGGTCGTCGGGCAGCTTATCAATTCATAAAGGTGCTCTCCACGCGGCTATTCAATAATCTAGGACTCCATTGGAAAAAGACACGCACTTATACTATAATGAAGAAACTAATAGGAAACCTGAACAATTCTACTTAACGTCAATATTCTAAGGAAGCAATAGCAAAAGCTTCGCACTTCATCCATATATTTTTAGTTCGTTGTAATTATTTGATTCCATTCACCAAAAATTGTTCGATCGTGTTCGCAGAACTGACTGCCTTCAAAAAATAGCCACAGTTCCAGAACAACTTTTTACGCAATTGCTCCGCTTCGCTCGCTCTGAATGGTCGAAGCTGTTACCAGCCTGTTAATATATTGGTGGCCATAGGCTAAACAAAAATGCTTCTGTGGCGGCATTTCGACTGAACTGGCAGCTCCCAGTCACTCGGAGGACATCCTGGAATTCGCCAAACGTTACAACACCCCTTCCCCGATAGGCGCATTAAATAACGACCCTATGTCTTGCACCTTTCAGACTTACGTCGCTTGAATCACATAAAAGTTTTTTGTTACATCCGCCGAGGAAATTCCAAGACTTCCAATTTAAATGGCAACCGGATAAGTTCCATCAAAGCGCTTTTTGAGTTGGAATCGCAATATAATTTTATAGTTTTTATTTGTCGTTAAATAACTTTGAAATTGCTATAAACTATCCGAAAACATAATTAAATACATCTTTAGTTTTAAAATGAACGTATTAGAGTACAACATAAAGTTTAATTGTGAACGCAGGTTTAAAGAATCGTCAATCACTTTCAATCATAAAATGGCTATTTGAAATAAATTGAAGTCGTGGCATGCAAAGTGCGGTTGAACAATGAAAGCTGACGGGCAGGTCGTGGTCCGTGGCCGTCGCTTAATGACCGTGCAGCGGGCAGCGGGATTCCAGCCCACCTTACTTTCCACGGGGGAATTCATTTGAAAGTACCCTTTGTGATTGGAACTTTTCGTGTCAAGCGAGACGGGGAGTATAGTGTTCGTTGGTTCGCTGCTAACTCTGCAATGCGTGCTTAAAATTTGTATTGATATAACCTATCACAACCAATATTATTGCCTATTACAAAAAGAATAAAGTTTTTGTGTGTGTATGCGTAGTACGTATATACATATTCGAAATAAACTGGTACATTACATAAAAAACTAAGATAAAATAAATAAAATTTCGACACGAAGCCATCAGGAAGATAACATCACGTACACTGTTTAAATTTTTGCACAAGTAACTAAACGAGTGGCTATTTGCTGCAGCGGTCGGTCAAAGAAACAAAGTATGATGTTTTTATTCATTTCAACACTTGAAAGGCTTCATGGTCTGTGGCATTCGCGCAATGCGGCTCAAGCTGTGCACCCGAAGTGCATTACGCCATATGCACGGGCAGGTGCGGCCCAACGGCGCCCGCGCACCTTGCACTTTTGCGAACATACTTAAGGATTCCTACATACCTATAACATGAAATATTTCATAAAGTAAGTATACGGTAAAATGAGTTTCCTCGCAGGTTAAAAGCAAAGATTAAGAAATTTACATAAACACGATTTTGCAGTGGTTATATTTGCTAATAGGCGCACGGAACAAGTTTCCGAGGTGTGGTGATGTAGCGTTATCTTACCGCAAAATGTGCTTTACCATTGCCTTAATTTTATTGCCCGTTTTTGTACGATGTACTTTCAGTGCTTTCTGATTCTTGATCAGCGCTCGTGAGCTAAAGACAAGACAATAGATCATAGATGATTATGAAATTGACGTCTTCATCTGAAGTCGATAGAAGAATAATTTCCCATTACCAATAGCTGCTACAAGATAAGCAAACATACTACATCTGCGCTACTTTTAGGAGCACTTCACATGCGCCGCCGCAACGCAGTGCTTGTGTACCACGAGCTTATCGCGTGCCTTCACCGCCATTCATAATATTTCTTTTGCATTTATTATAAGAGCAATTAACCTTACCAGAACTTGAACAATGTATTGATTTATGGTCATTCTTGATCAGTTGCTTACCTTCCCAAAAACTTCTTTCGAATGTTTTCCGTGCAGCGGTATCGCTCTCAATGACGATTGGTTTACTGAAACAAGAAAATAAATACGTCAGTAACGAGTCTTCGCCGCACTTTTGTACTGTGCATTTAACGTTAAAGTAGTACCTCAAATGTGCCGTTAGTTAAGGTAGTATTTATTTATTAAAACAAACGTCTAACCGTATAAACGTCAGCTGCGCGAGCTTTTAAGCCCGCTCGGGCTCCACGGGTAGTGATTTATCGTAATTCAGTTTAAGTGACCAATTTCGTAATAGCAACAATTAGTGGCGGTGGGTGGCGCTGCCTTTGCCGCGCTCTCCCCCCGCACTGCGCCTTCCCTGTCTTTACCACCTCGAATAAAACACATTTATTAACGTTTCATAGAAACCATAATTTTACATTCTTCAGCTTAAACCCATGAAAACAACCATCATTAAATGGAGTCGCTCGAGATAACAAAATTATTCATTTTATTATTCAAGTCACGTTAAGTACTTATTTTACTTCCAGTTTAAGCTGTCAATAAGTTCGACTAAGTACACACACACGCACACAACTATAGTAGCAGTAGAGCTCATTGTGAAACAGTTCGTCCAGAGAAGTACTGCCACGTTACCTATTTCTGCCGCCAAGTAATAATGTGTGCATTATTGCGTTCCGGTTTGAGTGTTTTTTTATATCAAAATGTAAGTGCGCATTTAACCTCCATCTCACCTGATGAAAAGTGGTGATGATGGGGCGACGATGGAGCATGCAACCTAAATAATGCCTATTCACTCTCGCCTCCAAAAGGTCCAAGTTACAACGTTCAGGGAACAAGTCATAAATGTGGAAGCGTAACGCTTTGTGCGAATGTTTGGAATATCCGTAACACAGAAGTGGAACCCAAGCCTATGTCTAGTCCCCCAGTGCGCGGTGATGAAAAGGGGAAGGCGGAATTAAATCGTGTAATTCCATCGCACACTCTCCGGGATATATCCTGTAGAATATCGATAAGCAGACAACTTTACGGCGGTGTTCAAGGTTCTGCAGCTTCGCCTCTACCAATTCCGAGTCACCTATAAGCCTATTGGCACGCTTGTCAATTGAATCCAAGGTAAGGCAAAGTTAACAGGCTAAAAGGGCTTCTCAACTTACGTCTCAGAGTGGCGAGCGCAGTGACAGTGCCCCTCAGATCTTTGCGATTTAAAACTTTGAGTAGCACTGCGACTCATGGACAAGTCATGGACAGGTTTGTCGCTTACCACCAAGCATACGACTTGTTTATACCATCACATGAAAGACATGTTCCATGTTCACCTTGGAACCATCCATGGCAAGCAATTTTTTGAAAGCGTACACAAATACAAAAAAGCGGATATACTGAATATGCACAAGGTGGTATACTGTAGCCTAATAGGTATCTAAGTATTATAGAATGGTGCACTATGACAGGATTGTGTCTTTTGACCTAAACAGAGGTGTTTTATACAGGGTACTGTAATATGCGTAATAAAAGAATATGATAGTATGGTGTACTATTTGTCCAATAATGGAGTATCACAGGGTATCTATATGACTAAATATTAGAAATAACATCGACCTCAGAAGTTCGTGGAATTATCTAATTATATATCTAATTATAAATATCTATTTGCCAAGTTTTATTAAAATCGGTTACCTAAAAGTGCGCGAAACCGGATTCATCCCCTAGTTTGCCACTCTTAGAGGTGGAATATTTTCTTCAAATGGGACCAATACTAAGGTACCCTCTTTCCAACAAAAAAGAATTATCAAAATCGGTTCACAAATGCGTTATCGCGTAACATACATACCAAAAAAATTCGCGCCCTTTTTTTTAAGTCGGTTAAAGATACAGGTTCATATACCTTGGACTAATAAAAGAATATATCATGGACATTTCTATAAAAATATATATACCACATCGCAGAATTAATAGCAGCATCCCTAAATAAAGAGCATCAATTTTATGAAAAAGACCGGAATTATAAATCGGCGGAACGTGCCCATCCCGTTGTCTGGAGGCCACTTCATTATCGTCACGTTCTTGTTGCGATGCCTAATCGATGAATCTCATCAAGCCTCCTTTGAGTTTTACTAAGAGCTCAGTCACGCCCCGGAATGACTAATTTGTGACATCAACGCGAACCCTTTATGTCCTCTAACTTAATGAGTTTGCTTTGCTGAATACCTAGTCACTAAAGTGTTGTAATTAAAACAAAGCACGCAACACAACTAAATAAAATACACGACCTACCTACCTATTGCTTAACGATTGACATTGACGCAATATTTTATAGATCTAGTGTAAAATTAAAATAGGATAGAGGACTCTATATTTTAATATTTGAAGACTTCTTATTTGCGAATATCTGGTTATGGCAGCAGTATCGAATGCCAGAAATTACTATCTCTTACAAGTCATTGTGCTCGTGTACTCGTATTATGCACTCAGCAATAAAGCATGCACTTATTATTAAAGTGTGGTTAGGTTTACGTTGCAATTAAACGTTTAGGACGTTTAATTGCTATGTACGTCCGCATTAATTTTAAAATAGGTAGACCAAGTTTGTGTTTAATTCTAATCGTTAGACATAACATTATTCTGCTGTAATGACATCAATGATTAAGTTTCATAAAACTTTACGGCAAATATCTGTCCCCTATAATTAGTTTCATATAATTCTCAAACGACATGGGTTATAAAGCCAATGAACATATCTAATAGAGCAATAAAATGGAATAATAAAAGTGCAAAAATTTGACATCACCGCCGGCGCCTGCACTCAAAATGTCAGGGTCTTGCGACTGCCGAAGCTCTAGATTCCGAATGCCAGCTGACGGCCAGGCATTTAGCCTCTCTAATATTTTGCATAAGAGAATATTTTAAGTAACAATTCTACTAGCAACATTCAGTTGACAGAAACAAAATGTTATACCGTATACCTAGGCCTAGAGGCCGTAAACGTATTTTTTGTACTGGAAAGGTTATTTCTTTTTTTTTATGCAGATTTCAGGTCTACACCGCAACAATATAGTGAAGTATGTTATTGATACGCTAACAAGAATATATGGGTAGTTCTAATCACGATGGAAGTATATTCATAAAATTATGGCCGATAATTTCGTTCCCTATTTTAAAAACTAGCTGAACTAGCTTTGCATGTTTGTAAAGACGTTCGTAATGTATTGCTAAGAGGAACAGTAAAAAAAAAACAAATATATGCGAATTTTCAGGGGACAAAATAATCGGGGAATGTATACAAAACGAAACAAGTCACAATAAAGTCGTTTATTTTTAAGTTTTAGCTAAGCACAAAAAATGCAAAATCTGTTGTATATAAATTTTACAGTCTCAATAAATCACTTTAGTAATAGATAAGAAAAGTACTTCACTCAAACAAAAACTTATTAATTATTATAAAATACAGTCTAGTCAGTCTGGACACGATCGTATTTTTGTAAAATCCTATTACTTATATCTTGAAAATGCATTAACCTATGCCTGGTTTTCAGTCACCTACCACATACGTCAACAGGGGACTGAGATTTCAACTGTCAATCTGTTAGACCTTGGTAATTCACTACTTTATCTACTGTCTAATAAGGTTTATGCACAAAAGCGGTAAATAACTATTACGTCCATACTAGTAAATACCAACCAACTGAGGTTGGTTATTGACGAAAACACTCACCAGGGAACTGAAAGCTTGAATGATCGCGACACTATTTTCTACCTTTGATGCATCACACTGACGAAATAAACGCGTGCCGTATTGTCACTTGCGGGTTGATGCGAACTTCAGGACGTGCTACGATCGGTCCGAATAACAAAATTACACGAAAGTATTTGTGACAATTTCGGAGTCAATTGTTTGCAGTAACAAGTTAAAATAAGGAATAAGTTGAATGTATTTTCTTATATACAACGGCTCATTTTTTGACTTTAAAATAGTAAGACAACTTCTAATTGATGCGTAATTCAGCTTTTAAACAAGTTGAGTGCTTAGGTTTTCGCGATTCTTATACATAGGCAAGCTGTTTTTTCAAACAAACCGAATAAAAAAAATACACGCGATTTAAATCCGGAAAAATAGTTTTATTTTAAACAAATTTTTCTATTTCATTAGGGAGGGGACCGAGATTTTGAGACTTTTCTTTTCGTAAAAAAATATTACCTTACGTAGCCAGTTTCAGTGACCAGATGGTTAATGATGTAAATAAAGGTGTAGATATAAAAATAAGTGATCTAAGGAAGAAATTTCACAGATTCTAAGACCTTCGAAAATTCCATCAAATCATGATTAGAACGTGCTATATATCATAAATATATATCATATATCTGTGATGTACAGAGTGCAGCATATCAAGCTAAACATTGAACATTTTATTCCGTTGCTCTGGAGGCGATATTCGAACAAAACTGTATTGCTTGACGTGCTGTTAACTGTACTATATTCAGCTGTCCCTATCTACCGACCCGAGAGATAGGGTTTTCCGGAGAGACTACGGGCTCGACGGCAAGACCAGGGTACAGCGAGCGTCAGGTCCAAACCCTCTGCCAGTGATACAACTTTGCACAGAGACGCCCTCTGGCGGACCCGGACTTGTGTATGGACACGCTGGGGTTTGTGGTTAACCGCAGAGACGATCATGTTTGTCTGCCCCAGTTGCATCTATCCGGGGCGTCTGTCTTGTGAGCACCTAGCGCGTCTTAGTAGCGGTCTAGTTGAGGGCCTGAAGCGAAGAGACGCGCGGGGCACGAGAGTTGCCCTTTAAGTTGGAAGCCATGTCCGGACATTGTCGCAGGACACTACGACTGGCATCTCCGGCACTAGCCCGGAGAGCTAGTAGAGGGTGAGCTAGATATCTTCCGGTCCCTCCAGTAGCTTAGGTTATTGGGAACTGGAGAGATGTCGTTTTTCGGCGTCGGGAAGTGAGCATGCCTTACAGCTCCGCCACCAATGAGGAGATTTGGTAGTGGACTCAGAGTCGACGGCTAAACGGCAACCGCTACTTATGCAATGCGCAATGGGAAGTGAGCGTGC